TGTCTCTAAAGGAAACTTATAGACTACGTTTTATAAGGGACTAAGGAACTTATATAGAGTGATTTTAAATGCTTATGAAAACTCCTCATAAACCTTAAAACTTTCCTAACATATTAGTTGTTGTTATCCTATATGCCAATTCCTAAATGCTTTTCTGAGGGTCCACTCCTTTAATAAAACTTAAGCCAACAAGGATCCCTATCATGGTTTTTAGTATCTTTACAACACAGTTTAGTGCTCTAGTGAATTCTGCATTTTTTCCTTAATTGTTTCATTTATGTATGTTTTCTCTCTTCCAAAATGTTGAAAGTTTCTTGAAATAATAAGCCATTTCATTCCATGTGTTTTGCTTTATTTTTTCTTTTCTGGTACTAGGAATTGAACATCGGGGTACTCTGTTACTAAGCTACATCCTCAGCCTTTTTATATTTTATTTTGAGACAGGGCCTCATTACATTGCTGAAGCTGTCCTTGAACTTGCAATCCTCCTGCTGCAGCCTCCTGAGTAGCTGGGATTAAGTTATGTACCACCACGCCCAGTTTATGGGTTTGTATATTTACCATATTTCATATGTAACAGAGTCTTGGGTAGATAGTCAATAATTTTGAATTTATTATTTTTATTGTGTCTAGTATGTACAGGTACATTACACACCTTATTTCTTATTTAATTTAATCCTCACAAAAAAACACTTAACAGAATAAAAAGCTGCTCTGAGAGTTTAAGAATTTGCCCAAATTCATGCTACAAAGTGACAAACCTAGGATTCAAGAATAGGTTAAAACCAATATTCTCTCCACTTGCCCTAACCCCTCCCTACAGTATCTATCACCCTCAATGCTAAGTTTAAACAGTTCCTGAAAAGACAAGTTCTTCCCTATTACCAATGGTTGGAAACCAGCATCAAAAGTAACTATCCACTACAGAGGAAAGGAAAGAAAAACAAATGTTGAATTAAGAGGAAGAAAAAACAATTTATTTTCTATTTCTTCAAAATTCCTTCCTTGAGGAGAACTTCTTTGTTCATAAACATGAACAATGAAAAATAATTTTAATCTACCTATTTTTATTTACCAATCTCATAGTTGGTCTACTGTAATATTATGTGGAGCTCAAACACATCTTTTTCTAGAATTTCCATGTTCTTTGATCTTATTATTACTGTTTTAAAAGGAATTTTTACTTCATCTTTCTTCCAAATATAGACAATAAGTCTTATTTTTAGTTGCTTTACTAAATTTTTGTTTTAAATCACTTTGGATTAATAGAAAAGTTCCAAAATAATACAGAATATTACTGCATGTTTTTCCATCTTCCCCTAATGTTACCATCTTATATAACATGGTACATGTATCAAAATTAAGAAATTAATATTTCTAGAATTCTATTAATTCCAGAGAATCTATTTGGATTTTTATACTCATATCTTTTACCTATTCCAAGGCCTACTCTAGAATACCACAGTACATTTAATCATTGTATCTTTATAGTTCTTCCAATCTATGACAGTTTCTCAGTCAAGCTTTTAAACATTCAGAAACTTCATAGAATGTCCCTCAATTTGAGTTTGCCTAATGCTTTCTCAGAACTGTTTATGGATTTTTGAGGAAAAATACTACAGAAGTGATGTATCCTTCTCTTCGCCTCATAACAAGGCCACTTGTTACCAAAATGACTTACTATTGGTGGTATTAATTTTGATCCTTTAAGATAACCAAGTTTTTTAAACAATATTTCTTACTTATAGTGTAATTCACAAGACTAATGCTACTATAGTCTTAGACCCATACTTGAGTAAATAAACATGTGTTTCATCTAGTGATTGCATGTTTTTTAAGAATCCAGTGTTAATTCTAGACTCATAAGTAAAGGAAATCTGTAAGACATAAGATTTAGGGCCTAAGAGTTCAAACACTATGTCCACTACCTGCAGACTTTAAGTCACAATCTAGCATTCTTAATTCCCTCACCTGAAAAATGGGAATAATTATATATCTCACAGAGTTGTCAAAATTAAATAACATATGTATCATATTTCTTCATCACAGAATAATATGCAAATACTAATTGTTGCTATTATACTTAAGCTTTTGAGTTGCTTACTGTGCTTTTTTTCCCCTTACTTTACAAAAGGACTTTCTTAAGTGGTGTAAGTACCCAGATGAAAAAGCCTACTGAATCTCAGAAATAAAATGTCAAAGCCACAAGTAAAAGTCATAATAAGGCTCCCTGCCACTGCTGGTCTGCTTTCCACCTCTGTTTATCTATAAATATGAAAAAGAGAAAGATTTTGAGACCAGGTTAAGAAATTGTAGCTGGAAGTGATGTTGCAGGTTGTAATCCCAGGGCTTGGGAAGCTGAGACCTGAGAATCACAAATTCAAGGTCAGCCTCAGCAATTTAGCCAGGCCCTAAGCAACTAGTGAGATCCTTTCTCAAAATAAAAAAATAACAAAAAGGAATGTAGCTCAGTGGTAAAGTGCCCCTGGGTTAAATCCCCAGTGCCACCCCCCAACACCAAAAAAAAAAAAGAAAGAAAATAAGAAATTTTAATTTTAATTATCTCATACATAGTGCCAAAAGCTAATCATTTGGAAACCATGTATATTTGAGTCAATGAGGGAAATGTACAAAATAATTTGACTAAATCATATTCTATAATTCCTTCAAAATGATTCTAAACTACTAAAGAAAAAAGTTCCCATGATTGTTAATACTTAATATCCAAATAAAAAGTCTGTATTTTAGTATTTGAGGGACATATCATTACTATGTTAAAAGAGAAAACACTACTCTCAATGTAATAGAATACTGTGTGCTCCATGTTAGAATATAAGCTTATTGAAGGCAAAAATATTCTTCCATCTACTTCTGTGAACTAGCACTCAAAATATGTTGTATTTTCATTGAACTTATAATGCTCACTTATGCTGTCTAAACTAGACTAACCTCTGTGCTGCCAGTTCCGGTATACACATTAGGCAGAGTAAACATACAATTTAGGGGTCCAGCAAACCCCACAAAAACAAACGATAAAAAAGTCCCACATGCACAAACTTCCCTAAAGAATTTAATAATTCAGCATAAGCAACTGAACTAGTCATTATGGAGAAAAACAGAACTTTGTTGTACTTTTTTATTTTGGGGGTTTAAAAAAATATTTATTTACATATGAGATAGGGATGGTGGGACATCAAAATATTTTCAGTGCTTAGGAGGATCTGTAAAAATCTTAATCCAGTTTCATGTGCATCATGTATTACCCTAAATTTTATTTACTCAGTTAATCAGCAAAAGTATTTTACAATATGAAAATTATAATACATGTTTAACCCATTCTTTACATAATAAGTACAATTGATTCTTCCTCATTACAATATTATCTGTAAGCAAGAAGCCATAATGAATGCTAGAAAGCAACTTTTATAAATTGTATTAATATCAGTTAGCTCTTAGCCAATAGTGCTATACTTCCCATCTATACAAAAAAAAAAAAAAACAGTTCCCAAAATAATCCAAAGAAAATTATTTATTACTTGCATATATAGAACCCTAAATGTCCAACTGGACTGTCTAAATATATGTAAGAAAAAAGAGGCATCAGTTTCTTGTGTTGCAGTTCCCACCTGATTCACAATTCATCTTTAGTTACCTCAAATAAAGAGCTCTGGTTTTGTGTTTTTTTTTTCCTGAACAATTCAGTTAAAACACTGCCAGATTCTTCACAGCTTCAGTTGTCCCTCCACCTAACAGCCAATCTGTTGCTAGATAATTATCCAGATGTATCTGGTGTGTTTTAACACTCCCAGTTTATTTCAAGGACTTGGGTACAGATGTTGCTTAAGTACATACGGTACCAGAGGCTGGTTCTAATTAGACCTTTTGTCATTTTTTGCTTGACTTCATTTTGACCACCGGGTGCATGATGCAAACGTGTTCGATATTTTTAAGAGCATAAAAATAAAGAAAGCAGTAGTTAATTAACGTTTCATAGCTAAAAGAGAAAGTTAAAGGTATAGAGAATTGGGACCTGATGATTGAAATAAACAGGTAGAGACGATCCCTTTACATTTAGACCTTCCTCCCCAACTCCAGCCCAGAAAACCAAACCCCATCTAAATAGTAAGAAAACTTCCACAACAAATAAAAAGCGGTTAGAAAACTCTTTCCAAAGCATACTTTCAATAGTTTAAAATAATTGCTTTTCTCCTTTTCCTCCAGGAATAGGAGGAATATTTCACATTTTTTAGTCCCTGCAACATTAAGACTCCAGAGTTCATTATGCTTTTCTACTTATAATATGTTTTCAGTTTTCGTAAAACCTCGGTGTGTAAAAAAGACTTTTGCTTTTTCTGGGCACTGTGCTGTCAGTCTGGGTCTCTCCTCCAACTCAACCGCCACCTCGGCGGCCCTCAGCGATGATCTGGCAGGTGCGAGGCCGAGGCCCGGAGCTGAGCGAAGGAGGCCGAATTTACGCAGCGCGCGCACCCAAAGGAGGAGGCAGCCGCAGGCCGGGTTGTTCGAACTTTGCGAGCCTGGCTGCGGCGCGCGGAGACTGGCCGACCCGCGTTGCTCAGCGCCAGCTCCCTTTCCGCCTGCCAGCAGCCTGTGCTGCCGAGCCTCCAAGGCCTTTCAGCTCTCCACAATCGACTCAATTAACAGTCCCCTCGCCCCCGCCCTAACAGGGCAACCCGGGTTTCGCGTCCCGGACTCCATCCCGCCCTCCAGCCAGCCGGAGGAGGGCAGGCCCAGCTCTGCTGTGCCGATCCCCGCTCCAGTGGGGCCGGGCCGCAGGGCCGACAGGAGGGAGCCAGCTCTACAGACCCAGCAGGCAGACAGCAAGAAGGCGGGAGGAAGGGCGCGGGGCCTCGAGGGCGGAGCGTGCTAAACTGCGAGCTCTAGCGCCACCAGGGCGGAGGGCGGGGCGAGGGCGGTGCCCTGCCTTCCCGCTCCCGCGGCGCAGCAACTCCGCCGGGCCTCCTTAAAACTCTGCCGTTAAAATGGGGGCGGGTTTTTCAACTCAAAAAGCGCTCAATTTTTTTCTTTTCAAAAAAAGCTGATGAGGTCGGAAAAAAGGGAGAAGAAACCGGCACCATCTCTGCAGAGGCAACAGAAGCAGCAATTGTTTCAGCGAAAAAAGAAGCAAGGGAGGGAGGGAAGGAAAAGGTCAGAAAGGGGGACGACGCGCAAGTGCCTGTAGTGGTGAAGCGAGCAGGGACCTGCGATTTTGGGGACCAACTACAAAGGAGACTGTCACTGGCAGTGCTGTAGCTTGGGAGGAAGCTGTGCTGCTCATTTCGGCTCTAGGGCACAGCTGGCTGGCAGCCGCTGCCCTGTCGGCTGCACAGGCTAGGGGCACAGGCTGGGGGACCGCGAAAGATTGGCGAAGTGGCACAGGACGCCGAAACTGCTGAGCTCTCGTCAAGAGGGCGGCTGAACTGGCTGCGCCCTGGAATTGTGGCGACTCCCCATACTCAGGGCTTGGCCTCCTCTTCCCAGGACCCTCCCCATCTCCGGAGGCACACAGAAAACCGGGAAAGACACGAAAAGAAGGCGACGGCGGCAGCTCAATGAGTGTCTACAGCAGAAAGCCAGACCTAACTCAGTCGTAGGCGGGAAGTTACCCGTGAGCTCCTCTTTGCAGCTGAGATGCTGCGGCGAGCTGCTCCAGCGACCCGAACCCGATAGACGCTTCCCGCATCGCTACCCTCCTTGCTCAGGCTGCCGGGTGTCCCGGGACCCGGTGAGGCCGGCATGACGGGCTTGCCGGGTCCGGCCGCAAGCTCGGCAGCCTTGGGAGTTGCGCGCCCAGCCCGGCTCCCACGGCCTCTGAGGCTCAGAGGAGCTGCGGCAGCCCGGCGGGCGGGCTCCAGAGCCTTCTAGAGCGGCAGTAGCCCGCAGCTCGGCCCCCACCGGACTAAAGGCTCCTCTTGAGAAGCCGAAAACATTGGAAATTATTTCGACCTGTAACTGGAGGGCCACGGAACTGCTACTCCTGTCTGCCTTTGGCGATCATCTTTAACTCGCGGAGCACGTCAGCATCCAGCCACCGCGGCGCTCTCCCAGCAACGGAGGACTCCCGACTACCCCATTCCGTAAGACGGATGGAAACCGAGCCCCTCCGAGGACCTGCCCGTGAAGTTCTGGCTCAAGTCACCACTGTGAACAAGGGTGGGTTAATGTCTTTTCTTCCTCCCAAATGCCTTTTCTTCCGCGGTATTTTCTACCCTGACCTAGTCCCTTAAGTCTCCACACATATTCCTCAGAGATCTGTAAGTGTAAGTGCGTGACATTTCTGCCTACACCTCACGTCCAGAGCAGTTAACCAGGAATGTCTGTGTGTCTCTCTGTTGAATCACCAGGGGGTTGAATCTTCATAGGGGTTAAGCTAAAAAGCGAGGAAAGGAGCCCCCCCCCCCTCCAATGGCTCAGTTTTGCTGAATAATCACGTGTGAATCGAGGGGCGGGCTTTTGGCAGGCAGATCTTACTAGTATTTACTACCAAGCTCTACTCCAGATTAACCATCCCAGTCCTTCTGTCAGTCTCCGATGCCATCATGCAGCCTGGTTAGGAGCAAAGGAAGGGGGAGAAAGAAAAACAACTAATTCATCTTTTCCTGATCGTCAGGACCCTAAAGAATGGCCGAACCTTGGGGGAACGAGTTGGCGTCCGCAGCTGCCAGGGGGGACCTAGAGCAACTTACTAGTTTGTTGCAAAATAATGTAAACGTCAATGCACAAAACGGATTTGGAAGAACTGCACTGCAGGTTGGTATCCAAAGAGGTGGGGAAAACAGGTTAATAATGTTGTCTACGTGAACCAGGTCTCTAGCATGACAGCTTTTAAACTTTCAGGGGTACAAATTTTCACTGTTTTTAAACCTAGTCGGTTGCCATATTTTATATCTTTAAGTGGATCCAGCTCCCCAAAATGACGTACTTTGAACAAACTCGTCAAATCCAATAACATCCTCCATACCAAGAGGATTCTAGGTTTGGTCTTGATTTTTGGAATGTTTTTGTGACGGTTGGGGATTTTAAACTAGTGATAGGAGCACCGAGGACTGTTTGTTTTGTTTTGTTTTAGACAGTTCTGTAAGCACAATATTATTATTATTTGAAGTAAATGCACTGCTATTAATGGTTTCATGTACTTTACCCTCAATAATTGCCCTTAATGTTAATTTTTTTGACTACTAGCAAGGGTGTTTTTCCTTCAAATGCTTCACGTTTTGACAAACGACCTTTCCTCATTTGGAATGGGCACAGGGACAGGATGTACATTTCACAGTTAATATAATACCATCCACCCATTAAGGAATGAAAAGAAATAAAAAGTTTAATTTTCTAGTCAGAGCTCAGCTGCAGTGTTTTTGTCCCTGCGGTCATGCCGTGGTATGCTCTAATTTTCAGTAATTAGGTTTACAGGCAACAATTGACACATGTCCAGCTGCCAAATATGTACCTGATAATTTTTCCCCCTCCAAACGTTATCATGTAACTTAGTAGAAAGGCTTAGAAACAGAAAAAAAAAATGGAAAAGTAGTCTCAAATAGTTGCTTTATCAGACTTCTTATGATATTTTTATGAACTGTTCTTACTTGGAAGATGTTTTTGAAAACCCAGTGGGAAGAGGGCTTTTAAATGGCTTTGTTTAGAAGGCTTTGTTATTATAAGAATTAGAAGTTTTAAGTGGCAGAAGTTTTAAGTTCACATACTCTGTACATTTTAAATTTGAATGCACTGGCCTTGTAAAACTTTCAGTATTAAGGAAGATTATTCATAGATACTAAAATATTTATCTTGTTATTTCAGATAGATTAAGTAGGGAAAGAATTTTTTCCAACTAGTAGTTTTAAACAGGTTTGTGATAATAACAATGCCACAAATGTAATATATTGAAAAGTTTCCTACTGAAGAGTCCAGAGATTATCTCAGTCTCACAAAGTATGAATCCATGTTCAGAATAAGATCTCACAGGACTTTTGACGAACAAGAAGATTGAACAATTAATACTAAAAAAAAAAAGTTTGGACAAATATTTTTAATACAACTCAGCAATCATGTTCCTATTAAACATACTTATCAAGATAATAACACTCACTTATTGTGACTTAGTACATAACATGAAATGAAACACACACAAACAGGAATCTAGAGGCTTATTTTCAGTATGCCTCTGAAGTTATGTCATAAGAAAGAAATTTCTTCAAAACCTTTCTAATATTACTATTATTTTCTATGAGAGATGGCAAATTTCTTCTACAATTATATTTATTTAACTCAATTGCAAAAGCTTTCTCTTCCTAGGGTTAGGTTTTCAATCAGTATAATAATGAAGGCCTTAATCATACATTTGCTTTGCAAGGATCCATGGGGTCTCTCTCGTTTTTCTCACTCTAGAGTTCTTGAATGTGGCCAAATCTTTAGAGAGAGTTGTGGCAAAAATTAAATTGTATTAATTTTTAATAACCAAAAAGTATATTTCCCTGAAGTTCTTGAAAAATAAATTGTCTTTTTTACTATTGCCATAAAGGAAGGACTAAAGGTTCACAGGGTTGATCAATTGGGAAACTTAATATCTTGACCATCTATTTAGTTTACATTTCTAAAATATATTTTATTTATAATTCTCAGTATATTTTATGTTACATAATTTGTGATTTTTAAAAACATTTCAAAGAAATAAAATTAACTTTGTATTTTCCAATGGATTATTATTTAACTTAATAAACATTGTCTTCTGTGCAACCTATTTATTTTAAATTTAGATTATTATGAATATACCTAAATATAAATGAAACTAGTTAAAATGCTGAATTTTCTGGCATGTTAATGAATAATGTTTCTCACAACTAAATTATATTACACTTGCATGCTGTTCTACAAGATATTTTTTAACTATGAGAGACTAACAGACACCTTTTATTAAAGTGAAATACATTTAAACAACAGTAAATAAGTTTTCGGGATGTGAATTATTTCATGTTGATAGCCCATGTTAATAACACATTTTGACTTGTAAAATTTTGGCAATTTACAAATAGTTATTCCTAAATGCTTATAATAACTATAAAAGTAAATGATAGGCTCACCAGTTCATTGTTAAATGGGCTGAAACCACAAGACAAAGCTGTCCGTGCCCCAAAACACACATCAAATATCTTGGTTTTTGCTTTTGCTCTCTTGAAAATCAGGAGGTTAGTTAGAACTTTGAGAAATAGTAAATAATACTGTAGGATGACTGTTTCATCCTTTTCAAGAACAGCTGCCAAACAATCATTTTCTATCTAATAAAAGGTATAACATGAACTTAATTTTACATAAATTGATATAATAAGCATTATAGAACACTGTGGCTTATTTAATGCTTTAATAATCAGTAACATTCTGTAATTTGAAATGAAGGATTCTAAACATTGAACATAGTAGTCAATAGTAAAGAACTTGCAAAGAAAAATATTTTAAAATAAATATTTGGAAATTCGAGGTTATCAAAATCTCTATTTAGAGGGAAATTGTGAAAAGTAATCATTTAAGAAAATATTAAGTCTGGATTTTTAATAGATCAATTTTACACTAGGTGACACTTATTTGGGACTTTAAAGAAACTCACCATCCTTACTTGTTTTCAGTAGCTATTTAGAAACAAATTTTACTCACATTTGATTTTCCAGAATTAATACTGTAGGCACATTTTATGAACATGTATGAGCAAATAGGAGAAGGAAAATCTTATTTAAATCACAAATTTATTTTCTTTTATTTCAATGAATTTATGAAAGAAAATATGCAACTCCTCATGGGAAATAACTGAATTGTCAGCAAAATTTACACAAGTTGCACAACTATTATTGATCAATTTATCCCACTTCTGGGCCCATTTAAAATATTCCATCAAAGAAGCTCAATTGTCAGAAGTATTCTATTTTTACTAATTAGTACTTTCCTTCAATTGAGCCCTTCGGGAGGAGTTGCTAGGAATCTAAGGACTGCATTAAAAATAGTTATATAAATAGGACAGATAGATATTTTAAAATATTCCTGTAGCATAAGCACTTGAAGGATTCTGTGTTGTTACTTCTTTTCTAGGTTATGAAACTTGGAAATCCCGAGATTGCCAGGAGACTACTACTTAGAGGTGCTAATCCCAATTTGAAAGACCGAACTGGTTTCGCTGTCATTCATGATGCAGCCAGAGCAGGTTTCTTGGACACTTTACAGACTTTGCTGGAGTTTCAAGCTGATGTTAACATCGAGGATAATGAAGGGAACCTGCCCTTGCATTTGGCTGCCAAAGAAGGCCACCTCCCAGTGGTGGAGTTCCTTGTGAAGCACACGGCCAGCAATGTGGGGCATCGGAACCATTCGGGGGACACAGCCTTCGACCTGGCCAGGCTCTATGGGAAGAATGAGGTCGTTAGCCTGCTGGAGGCAAATGGGGTTGGGGTCGGGGGAGCAGCAAATCTGCAATGAATATGGGAGGGCTTTCCCACATTGCCTTTACTTTGTCAGTTAATTAGTTGGCTGTCTTGACTATTTTAATATCTTTTGTTAAAATATAGTTTTTTCATATTTTAAGCAGCTAGTTAAAGCTTCTGAAACTGCCCAAGTGGAAATCTTGCTACAGGTTCATGAATATATTTAAACATCTTTTTCACTGGCAAAATCTTGATATCTAATGTGTAATTGCAAATAGCTTTGCCTTTCTTCTCCACATTTTATCAACTACTTGACTTTCTTTGCTTACCCCTTTGCCAATCACTATATCCAACTTTGAGACTTTGTTTATAAAATGTTTGTCCTGATGCTTCTTTAGCCTAATTAAAACACTTTTTCCAAGCAGGCAGACATTTTTCTGTGATTTTCACTCCTCTATAACCCACACAAAACATGCCACTTGCTAAAAACTGTACTAAAAGTTCACATGATGTTTTGGAAAAAGTTAGACCATTTGGAAAACTAGATGTATTCTGTTTATGATTCAATTATTATTTTCTTTCTCTCCCAACCTACTCCACAGAGAGTTTACTTGGGACTCATTTCTGCTTAAAAAAAAAAAGAGAAGAAGAAGAAGAACAGCGTTTTTGAAGCTCAAAGTTGACATTATTTCTGTATGAATTTCTCCAAATATTCTCTTTTCTTTTTCTCAAAGTTAAAGCAAATAGTTGAAGAATATTTTTCAGAAGTAGCAATCTGAAAACAAATACACATTAGCTCTAAAAAACAGTTTTAAAATGACACTTTAAAAGTACCTCCCATTAGTTGATTTTTTTTAAAAAAATTTTTAAATGAAACATTTGTTTTAGTAATTAATACATTCCCCAATATTGTACCATAAGTATACTGAATGTAATACTGGACTTTTCTCCCTGAATCTCAAAAATGTAAAATTACAAAATGTTTATTAAAATAAAATGCAAATACAATTTTGATGGGTTAAAAGATTCAGCAAGAATAATTATAAATTACATATGAAGGTCATAACTGTCTAAGATCTGCATAATAATAAATGTAGAAATGTTTTCAATAAATAAATAAGCCAACCTTCCATATGGCTCTTGATTTCTACAAAACTTTTTGGTAAAGTAGTATAAAATCATTTTTAGAAGTCTGATTAACTAAAAATAAAATAGGAAATAGAGACATCTCAAATTTCTAAGAGGATTTCCCAACATCTACTATTTATTCTGTCATATTAAAGATTATCACCAAAGGATTTCAATTCAGTTATCATTTATACATTTCAAATAATTTATTTATCACCTCCCACATGAACAAAGGTGTTTTATATGAAAATCCCCTCCTTCTGCTTCATAAGCTCTCCGCCCTTGCTTCAAAGAGAAAAAAATACTTAAAGCTTTATTGAAGGGCATGATTCTGATGGCTGCCCTTAAAAGGACTGGAATAGTTGCAGGAAAGTGATTTTCAATCATTTCTTTTCCATGAAAAGATGAAAGAATATAGGAGTGCAAGTTTAATCCTTTTCATTTTTTGAGTAAAATTTACATTCCCTAGGTGTAACAAGACTTTGATTTCTGTTACCTTTAATAACAATTTACTACATAAAGTTTTGATGGCAACTTTTTTAAGAAAAAATAGAAATTGACCTAATTTTGAAGGAAAAAACATGCTATGTTTAAAATACAGTAAACATTCAGGATATGTTGCTTTTGTGTGCTGAATATTTTCTAAGCACACTACTACTGACAGTAATTTTAAAAACCTTACAATCTGTAACTGTCAAGTTGAACGATTCTGAATTTAAAATTCAGGTTCCATTAAACATCACAGTATCCACTATGTGTCATAAAGTAAAATTCCCCTTTAGAGGTTTTTAAATATAAAGGCATATGATCATAAAGCCAAAGAGGAATACTTCTACTACTGTTTTGTTCTCCGGTGGTCTGAACACAATAGAGGGAGGGGAAGAGTTATCTTTTCATTAGCCTAAAATTTGGTAGGCATTAAAACATCCTACAGTACTCTGGTTCTTCGCAGGAAGTAGCTTTACTAAGTATTTCAGAAATGAGTTATGTGGTCCCCTCTAGGAAATATGAAAACCATTATTCAATCTCTCAAAAAACCTCGACAGTATACTGAAATATATAGAATGGAAAAGACGATACTGCTAAGTTCAACCGGGTCTAACTTGCAGGGAACTGAGGTCGGGGGAGAGATCTGAATTTATTCAGATACAAAGAGTGAGGATGCAAGTACTAATTAATAGGGTGCCCAGAGCCTCAGGGGACAATGTGGTAGAAAGCATAAAGACAACGCAATGATGCGCTCCAAAATTTCTTCTCTGCATTCGCATCCACATTGCTAAACTCAGGCTCAAGCCTTTGCTCGGTTATCTAAATCCAGGCTTACACCTGGGACAAGAGGTGGGGCACGTACAAAACCTCAACATATGCTCTGGTATCTGAACCACTAAGCAAAATGCTTTTTATCCTATTTCAGTAGTGAATCAATAATTTTTGATGGACATTTTACACTTCGCAAGGTATGATGAGCTCATGTACACACGCACACACGCACACACATACACACAGGGTAACTGACAAATACATAATAAGGCATTCTGTTTTGGGAAAAGCAATTCACTTGACGATATGATAAATTTCCTTTATCGTATTTATCAAACGAACATTGTGGAAACCATGGCCCGGGACTGGTTTCGAAATCTCAGTTCCCTAAAAGGTGTTTTCGGCTTTTAATGGGAGTAGAAAGAAGTAATAGTCCAGAAGCTCTGGAAGATCGCAGTGCTAGAGCTAGAGCGAGAGAGGGTCGTACTTGCAGCCTTCCAGACTACCCTAAGCAACCTTCACCAAAGGGCTGAAAAGGGGGAAAGTCCCCGTCTTGGTCTCTGTACTATTTTGCTTTACACTGCAGTTTCAAGAAAACAGATCCACGCAGAGACATAGTGAGAGGCAGGAAACAAACTTTCCGCCTGAGACATGGAGCTCTGCCCATAGCCAATCCAGGTTCTACCGAGGGGCTCCGAAGACATCCTTTCGGTCCCTTTGAAACTCTCTCCAGATTCCAACTCTGGCTCCAGGTTCCCTAGTAAGGAAGCTGGAGCCCAGCGCTTCCTCACCGCCTGCAGAAAAACCCAGGGTGGGGGTGGGGGAGCTTCAAAACCGTTAGGTTGCTTTTTTTTTTTTTTTCCTCCCTCGCTAAGGTTTCTTTTCTCTTCTCTTCCTGTCCAAATATTTCAAATTTCCGCGCCTTAAATAACAGTCTCCTTTTATTTAGTTAGTTTCCTCGGCAGGTTTGGCCGCCCACTTGTCTCTGTCCCTCTACGAGCCTGAGACGCCACGGGCGCCTAGTTGCTGCTTGCAGCCCCCTCGTGCTGCCCCAGGCCCAGTTTGCACCGCATCCAGCGCGCGACTAGAGCCACTGCACCCTCCTGCCGCGACCTCGCATGACCCAGCTGTCCAGGCACCCAGAGCCACTAAGGCCGCCCCGACCCGGACGCCTGCCTGCTTCTCAGCTTGACTTCCCTTCCCGAACTTGGGAGCGTCTTCTGCTTTGGGGTTTGGATCACCATGGCTCTGGAGCGGCGAAAGGGCTGCAACTATAGGAAGGCAGCGGAGAAGGCCAGTGGCCGAAGCCAGCCCCAGCCCCCACCCCGCGGGTAACCTTGGAGGCGCCCTCGGAGTGAGTGTGAGCGCTGCCGCGCCAGCCGGCTGGGGCTAGCTGGCGCTCCGCGCAGCGGGCAGGAGGCGGGAACGTGGGGGCGGGGAAGGGGAGCGGGGCTCGGCGCCTCCTGGCCGCCACCACAGCGCCCCGGGAACTGCGGGTTACCCAGGCGGCCAGCCCTCACCCCCGGTCCTGGCCCTCAGGCAGCGGTCCGCGAGGAGGCGGCAGCCACCCCACTGGATAGTTCTGGCGACCTGTGCCTGAGGACTGGGGCCGAAGGGCGGCGTGGGAGCAGGAGTGATCGGGCGGGTGAGTGCCTAACTCTCTGCAGAGGTGAGCTGGCGGCAGGGCGACTGGAGCAACTCGGTGCCCAATGCCAGTGCCAGCACTCCGTTCCTCCTCCCCCCATGACAGCTGAAGAGAGACGGTCTCTAAGCCTGACGTCCAACTGAGAGGAGACAAATGCCTCTTTAGCTTCTTAGCCCCGGCACTATTCAGAAAGTTACCCTGTGATTTTTGTCTTTCTCTCATAAATTACTAGAGGTACAGGACCAAAAATGCACGTTCATTCCGAAAGACCCTCAGCCTGAAACACAGTGAATTAAAGGACTGTTTAGAACACCTAGAGGGAATCTTGTTGTTGTTGTTGTTGTTTTCAATCCCAAACAGTTCAGAAAATCCACTTGAGATCTTAAGGGATGCCTCAAAAGAATAAAACTCCCCAGATTTGGGTGTAGGCTCGGTAAATTAGGTTTCAGGGAAATGTTTTTGCCATCTGCTGTAGAAACATTATGAGAACTTCAGGTGTTAGGATGTGGGTTTGGAATTTTCTGTGTTGTCTTTAATCCTCACAGACATGAAAACAGCTTGGTAATGCCCCGCAAGCGAGCAAAGGTTATCCTTGCCACCACAGCACCTGTGAAAGCACAAGTGGAACTCACATATTTTCCTTCCTGAGTTCTAAAATGGCTTCTGAACTGTCCAGAGGTACCAGCATATACAGGGGCGGGAGAGGGGGGTGGCCACCGGGAACAGGAGAGTTTGTACACTTAAAACACACACACACACACATATTATTATATTAAATTTTTTGCATCTAACTTTCCCCTATCCTCATCTTCATCAATCCAAGAAGAATTTTAGTGCAGGCCTACTTAATAATTTTTATATACTGCCTTTTTCTCTTCCCTCACCACCACCCCAAACACACACACACACACACACACACACACACACACACACACACACACACACACCAGCCAAAAACATCAACTCTTTAAGGGAAGAAGTAAGAAACTACCAATCCTTATCCAACTACACGTCATTTATTTTGAGCACTAATAAATCCTACAATCAATGCTATGAAAAAAATAGTTCACCAGGACCTCAAACACCTTTAACGGGTGTAATTAGTGATGTTGTCTTTTAACATGAAATCAATGGGACAGATTCTGGAATTGATAGGTGAAAAACTCAAAATTCTTCCTGGAAGTATTTGGAGACAGAGGCTTCTGCTCCTTGTATTTCATCGTACAATAGTCTTTTAGGAAAAAAACAGATACTTTTTCTTGACCATATATAAAGCAGTATCATGTAGACCAATTTTATTTTAGTTATATGCCTTAAATCTTCAAATTACTTACATGAATAGTGAAAATTCACATATAAAGGAAGACTGCCAACATCTTTTAATGTTGAATGTTTAATTTAGAAATTCAACCAAATTATCATAACCATATTAAAATACAGTCCCCTCCTGTGTTCCCTTCAGTGTTCTGTTTGCTTAAGCTGTTGAAAAAGAAGTCTTCCCTGAGTTTAAAAAGTATACTTTGGATACCTGACTTCCTAAAATAAAAAATAACTCACTGATATTTAGGAATAATTATTCTATCATTTGACAATTCTGTATATAGCTAATGTAACAGTACCTCCTTCTTACATTTTGGAATTATTATATTGTACATTTTGGGCTCCTTCGAGCCCACATAGTTCATGTTCCATAGTTTTCTCCCCTAGATGTTTTTGTTAAAAAGTAACTGCCTCCAATGATACAGCAACATTCTGATGCCCATTCTGCTAATTCAAACACTTAAGACCAAACCTATTCAGACTATTTAAAAATGACATGTGTTTCTTCTATTGTCAAAGTTTAGAACACATATGAATAAATAAAATCATTTGGAAGCCTAGAATAGTTTACAAACCAATAACAATCTTATATTGTGTTGATGATTCAATATAAATAAAATACTTATATATTAGAAGAATAATTGTGATCAAATTATTAAATTAAGCAGCATCTGATGATGATTAACACTATATATTCCCTTTTCAATACTCAAATAAGTGTGTGTTGTGTTATGCTTTTTAATTGTGAAAGATAATTTTACATAATAATCATCATAAGGAAAAAAAAGTAATTGAACACCCCAGAATCTCTTCTTCAGTGTTAAGTAAAACAAAATTAAGAATAGTGGTTAACTCCCTTCTTCTTCTTCTCCTCCTCCTTCTTCTTCTTCTTCTTTTTTTACTTTTTCTTTTCTTTCTTTTTTCCTCTTTCTCCTCTTTTATTTATTTATGTTTTGCTTCCATATTTTAGATAATGAACAAAAAAAATCACATGTAGAGATTTTTTCTTTATTCCAATTTTTCTTTATTCCTACTTCCTCAGCCATCTCTCTATTCTCAAAATTTTCTTGAACTTTTTAGTTTTCATCCCCATTAATTCAAATTTATCATAGGCCTGAGTCAAAACACATTCATTTTTTATTTAAAATAAAGGTAAGTGAAAAAAATGGATATTAAGTTATATATATTTTGTGTATTTATGTTTGGAATATAAGTTAGTTGAAATGCTAAAATGTTTAATATTTTGACATATGCTAAGATTTTTAGCATAGAATCAAAATGTAAAAAACTCTAAATTTAATTTTTACTCTTCAGAAAATAATTTAACATAGTTTAATTTGTTATAATAAGAGAAAGGTAATTGTTTTAACTAATAAAAAGTTAAATTATTAATACTTATAGAAAATATGAAGAGAAGACTATGATATCAAATCCAAAGCAATTTTTAGAAAATAAATTACTCTTGATAGTAAATCACATATTTTAATTTTGGAGTACATTATTTTATAGTTACATTTTGTACTTGGCACATGGACTAACATTTTCTGTGTTTAAATTTTTCTATTTTATGTAATAAACAGGTAATCAAAATAATGGGGTTTTTTTGGTCCTGTTATGTGAGAATTTTTTAAGATATACATGTGTATGTTGAAATATTTCTTACTAAAATTCAATACTAAAGAAATGGGCATTTTGAACAGAAACTGCCAATTTATCTTACATTACTATTTTAAGGTATTAAATTATGATCGTATACAGAAATATAAGCTGACAATTTTGGAGGATGTTTGTGAGATCATTTTCATTAATGAGCCAGGGAAAAATAAAAATTAAAATCTGAATACTGAAACAATGATGTAGTTCTACCTGTTATTATTTCACATTCTTATCATGAGACAAATACATATAAAACCCACTTACCATTCACAATTTGTAAAGTTCAAGTATTAGAAATAGAATTTTGATGGTGATAAGAGGAAGAATGGATAATTTCAATGTTTTAGATAGTAATAGCTCTAGATTAATTAAATATTAGTTATGTGATGGATAATTTGCTAAAGAATCCAAAAGAAAAGATGAAACAAGACTAAAAGATATTTGCCCAAGAATCAAAATGCAGGACAAAGAAGACCAAAAAGATTTTTTTTCATTATATCACAATAATAAATATAAGCAAATTAGTTTTCCTACATGAACAATTTTCTAGTTTCCTGTGAAATTTTCCACTATTTTCATTTGGATAATGTTTTAAAATACAAAGCAATGGACCTCACTATTTATAGTAATATGTGTAAATCACATACATATTTAACTTACATACAACAGACACATGTTCTACCCCAAAATAGCAGCACCAAGCTTAGCACCATTCTGAAAGGGTTAGTGGATACAGCTGGACATCTGGACTAGACTGAGGGGACTGTCCAATGTGAAGTCAAAATAGGGCCACATAGGAGAGAGCATTGAACTGCCTGAATGCTGGCTAATTTGCTCAAAAGTAATCAAAATGGCTCTGAGCTAGTATAGTTATTTAAATATGTGATGTACCTCCTGGAAAAGCAAATAGATCTATACAAAATCAGTTAAAAGAAGGAATATTTTATTTTTAGTCTAGAGGGACATAACAGATATAAGAAAAATTTTAAGGTGGCAATATAATAAAGAATTGTACATATCAACATCAGTTGAAGATCAATAATTGCTTTCAAATTCTTTTAAAAGACTTACTTATCATGTTTTAAAGATTTTAAATGCACAATTTTTTAAACATGGCTATTACTTAAGAATACCAATACATATTAACTTATTAATATTCTAATTTTTAAAATTCCCATGAAAAAGTACTCCAAAATACTTTTTGGTCATCAGACCTTATTGAAAGAACTGATACCATACGCTGAGGTCAACAAATAAAATTTCTGGCTTATCTACATAGAAAAATTTAAAGATCAGTGCTTTCTAAGGAAAATATTATCTCAAAATACAAGGATGAAGATCTGTGAATTTTTAGTTCTACTTTCTTTATTCCTATAAGGAGATTATATTTAGAAACAATGTAATATTAATATGAGATTGCAATAGTAAAGTAATATTTTATATTACTTTGAGTTTAAATATATAGAATTTAAACAATAGAACAGTGTATGGCTGCTGTGAGTTTATTCTACTTATCAACAAAACATACTGAAGAGAAATCAGATCAAAACAGACATAAAATTCAAGCTACAGGATAACAATGATATTAAATCAACTGACAGAAAAAATATCTGACACAAAAATCAGTTCAGGGGAAAGGAATAGGAAGGGAAAATATTTAAATCTCTTTCCATTAGTCAAAAAAATTATTAGTTTCTTATATAATACTGTAGAAAATTAAATCTTAAGCATTTATGAAAGTGTTATGAACATCCTAAAAATAAGTGGTCTCTTTTTAGGAAGTGTAATAGTAATTTATCTGAGAGGATTCTCTGAAAATGTTTTAATGTAATTATGAATATTTTAGCATATAAAATGTGCTTGACAGAATTTATTTAATTTGTCATCATTTGTGGACTAGTAAGTCATATACATACAAAAATAAGCAGTATTTTATTAAATATCTTTTTTGGGTACTTTTTAATTTGTTTTCTTGTTCATTCAGTTTACATTTCAATGGGAGAAAAGAAACACATAAGCAAGTTAATAAACATTTATCTTACATCTGTTTTACCTAGTTTAATATTCATAACCTCTTTATGGGTTGTTATATTTTTATCCCATTTTACAAATCAGAAAACTCAGATTTGATGATGAGCAAGTAACTTGTCCATAGTCAAACTGGTAATTTATAGCACAAGACAAACTCATATCTTTTTCTATTGCACTGTGACCAAATGGAAAGATCTTTCACAAAAATTGCCACAAATAATTCAACAAAATGATCACACGTTAAGACCCCATTATTATGACACCTAATAGGTTTATGATCTTTGGGACTAATTATATCTGAGGCTTTCAACATCTGTAAAATGGGAGCAATATTACCTAATTTTCCTTGTTATTGTAAATAATAAATGAAATGTGTGCAATGTTCTGGATACTCAATAAGCCGTTATCATTATGGAAATTTAAAATAAGCAACTTAAAAACTATTAGGGTAAATAAAGATATGGCAGACACATAACAATTGGGAAGTAAGTGAGATATAAGCAAGTGTATGATAGTATGTTGCATAGATGGCACCAAAAAGCAGCCTTATTAGGGAAACTCTTATTAGAAGGCTAATGATGAATATCCCACTGTAGAAAACTTCTTGTACTAAAAAGAAAAGGAAAGACTACCCCAAAATAACTGTTTATCTTTCTAATTTGTAATCTCTGGGAATGTCTATATTTAACAAACATATCCAGCAAACATTGGAAAGTGACTACATGGACAGAAAATTTATTATAAAATCATACATAAGTAGGTATTTTGAAAGATGTCTTTTATTATTTTGGAATAAGTGAATATGATACTCTGACTCAAATAAGAATAGAAAAATAGCAAGCAGTTCATAAGCATTACAAAATGGCACCCATAATTAGTAGTCAGTAGAGGATAGAGAGTGGCTTTAGAGTCAAATATTTTTAATTCTGGTGTTTACTATGCATCTTACCTTGGAACAGGCACTTAACCTTTGACCTTCAATTTTTTCATTTGTAAAATGAGTATAATAATATTTACTTTACAGTATTGTAATACTCATAAATAGTATTTATTAGCAATCTACTTCAAACTCTTAATATAGGAAATATGGAAGGTTATAAACAAACAGGTTTCCTGAGATGTAGATTTAGTGTTATTTGTCAGAAAGGAAAAAAAAATTCCTCTTAGATGACCACAACCCTAGTAATACATTTGCCAGTTAAACATGAAAACTTCAAGTTAAGACCTAAAGTTATCACTCTAAACAACTTTATGCACCTGTGCTGTGCATGTGATCAATTTATATATGCATTCTTTTTTAAAAACAAAAGAAACAAAAGGAAAATAGCTATCTATCTACTGCCCTTTACTTAATACGAAGATGATGATGACTACAATTATACCTTGTTACTTACATTTTTAATTTATATAGCTCCTTCTTGGAGTATTGAAAAGAGATTGTTTTCTCATTTATCTTGCTCCATAAGAATAGGGAAATGTGTTTCTTTTGGACAACTCACTAACCCCAATTCCTAGCATGATGCCTACACATGACAGGTGCCCAGTAAATACATGTTGAATGATCAAAGAAAGTAGATGAATGATAGGATAAAGAAATCCTGGCTGGGGATGTAGTTTAATGAAAGAATGCTTGCCTAGCAGGTACAGGGCCCTGGGTTCAATCCCCAGCACTGAAAACAAATTAAAGAACACTATTTTATAGCCAACAATGTAATACTTGATTAGAAACCATTGTATGAAAGTTTGCAGAAAAAACTGGACATCTATATGATCTCAAAGTATCACCCCTAAAATTATCATAATAAAATGATTTGATATGTGCTTCTTCTGCCCACCCCCCTCAATGCTGGGATGGAACCCAAGGCCTCATGCATGCTAGACAAGCACTCCACTATTGCGAGGATATCCCCAGCTCTTTCCAAATTTATTTTGAGATAGGGACTTGCTTAGTTGCCTAGGCTGGCCATGAAATCCCACCTCAGCCTCCTGAGTAGTTGTATTACAGGGGTAGGCCACCATATCTAGCTTTTTCTTCAGGGGTGGGGGGAGCAGTATTTCCCTATACTGCCTAGGCTGGCCTGAAACTTTGGGGCTCAAGTTTTCCTCCTGCCTCAGCCTCCTGAGTAGCTGGGACTATAGGTTGGCATGCCATCAGCTACAAATAGCACCCTCGATACACACCACCTCTGGTACTAGGGATTGAATCCAGGGTGCTTTACCACTAAGCTACATCCCAGTCCTTTTTATTTTGAATTTTTAAAATATATTTTAATCCAGGGTCTTGCTAAATTGCTGAGGCTGGCCTCAAACTCATAATTCTCCTGTCTCAGCCTTCTGAGTCTCTGAGATTACTGATGCATGCACCACTGTGCCCAGTGGCATATGTCTCTTGATGGATACAGTGGTAAGTACACAATATTACCTGCAAAATATTCTTGCCAAGAATGTATAACCTGGGGCTGGGGTAGTGGCTCAGCAGTAGAGTGTTCACCTAGCACATTCAAGGCCCTGGGTTTGATCCTTAGCACCACATAAAAAAATAAATAAATAAAATAAAGGTATTGTGTCCAACTACAACTAAAAAATAAATATTAAAAAGAATATATTTTAAAAAAATAGAATGTATAATTAATTATGAAAAGTTAATTATATAAATACAGACTGAGACATTCTTTTTTAAAGCTTTTTATGAGACAATTGAGTAACTTTTTAAAAAAATACTATCCCCACTATTATATATAATTATATATACCAATGAGAAGGAAAAATATTATCAAAGAAGAGTAGTCCAAAATTGTTATAGATTAAAAGCGAATATGGAGGGGCTGAGGGTGTGACTCAGTGGTAGAGCACTTGCCTTGCATGCATAAATAAATGAATAAAACAAAATGTCTGTAAATAACTAAAAAAAATTTTTAAAGTGAATATGGAGATAATATATGCATCAACAATGCATGAACTTATCATGGATTCTCAAATATGAGACAGTTTTAAAGAACTTTTTTGAATAAATATGGAATATAGATTAGATATGATTAGTTTATCAATGCTAAATTCTTGGGTGTGATAATAGCATTGTGATTATGTAGGAGAACATCTTTGTTCTTAGAAGATATCAAGAGCTTGTTGTTTGAAAAGATTAATAATATTTACAACCTATAGCTAGATTAATGAAGAAATGGAGAAAGTGAAAATTAATTACTACAGATATTTAAGGGATAAAGGGAAATATTACTAACACATTTATTTTTAAAAAGTCTCCTCTCTAGAAAAATTTAAGTGTAAATACAGTATTGTTAATTTGGTGCACTATGCTGTACAGTATATCTCCAGAACTTATTTAAGTGTAAATACAGTATTGTTAATTTGGTGCACTATGCTGTACAGTATATCTCCAGAACTTATTTACTTTGCATAACTAAAATTTTGTGAGTTTATCCTTTTTTAAAATCCTTTATGGAGTACACATATATTCACAATTAAAAAAAAAGAAATTGAATTCTTAGTTTAAAACACTGTGGAAAAGAAAACTGCAGGCACATATGACTTCATTACTTAATTATATCAAACTTTTTTCCCCCTGCACTGGGGATTGAACCCTGGCCTCACAGATACTAAGCAAGTGCTTTGCCACTGAGCTAAACCTCCAGCCCCAATTTTACCAAACTTTTAAGGAAAAAACGATACTCCATAAACTGAAAAAAATAGAGGAGGTCTAAGTGCTCACTTTAACATCACATATGCTAACAACTGGAATGATGCAGAGATTAGCATGACCCCTGGGCAAGGATGACACACAAATTTGTGAAGCATTCCATAAAAAAATAGAAGAGGTAAGAATTATTTCCAGCTCATTTTATTCTATCAGCACACTTTATACTCAATCTAGGTATCATAAGAAAATAAAATTACAGAGTATACCTCATGAACATAGACACACAAAATCTTTTCTTAAAATAATCATATATTTTGAGATGGTGTCTGTTTTTCACAGACTGATTTTAAACTCATGGACTCAAGTGATCCTTCCCCATAAGCTACAGCACATGTCACAGCACCTAGCATAAAAATTCTTAATGAAGTATTAGCAAATAAAATTCAGCAATATGTACTAGAGCTTGAGAAAATGAAGTTTACCCAGAAGCCCAGGGCTGATTTAACATTCAAAAGGCAATCAGTTTAATTTACTACATTAACAAAACATAAAAGAAAACTATGATTATCTCACTAGATTTAGAAAAAAGTATTTGCAAAGCACAAAACCCATTCATGATTAAAAAAAAACAAACTCTCAAAAAATAGGAAGAAAATAGAACTTCTTCAATCTCAAATAGGCATTTAGGCAAAATGTAGAGCAAAATTGTACTTAATTTGTGTGTGTGTGTGTGTGTGTGTGTGTGTGTCTGTCTGTCTGTGTGTGTGTGTATGGTGTCTGGAGATCAAACTCAGGGCCTAGAACATGCCAGACAAGTACTATCTCACTAAGTTATACCCAGCCCAGTACTTAATTTTTAGTTTGAATGCTTTCCTCCTCAGATCAGGAAAAATGATAGGATATACACTCTTAACACTTCTATTTAATGCTATACTGGCTATCTTAGCCAGCTGGCTCTAGCACATTATAAAAATGCACATAACCTTTGATCCAGCAACTCTACTACTAGGAATTTACCCTAAGGGATTCTAAATTTTCTAGATTAATTTGTACAGTTGTTTCCTTGACATCTCTTATTGTGTGTCTGATAGGCATCTCATATTTAGGATATCCCAAACTAAACTGTTAAATTTTATTTTATAAAACCTGTTTTATTTCCTGTATTTTCTATCTCACTAAATAACTTATTATCACCCAATTAATCAGGATAATGAATCTTTTTTTTTCTTTTTTTTGTGATGGGTGTGGAATCTAGGGCTTTACCCATGCTAGGTAAGTACTCTACCACTGAGCTAACCCCAGCCCAGAATAATCAATCTTGACATTTTCTCTTATACCATTTAAACTATTAGCAATTTCTCCTGATTGCACATATATAAATATATGTGTACGCACATACATATATATGTATTATGAGTTTGATGACTTCTTGCATTCATCATCATTGAGTCTCATTGGTGCTAATTAGGTGACATAAGAATCTCTGAAATAATCACTGTGGTTTTGTCTTACCAATATGAAGTCATGCCCATCTTGGGGCATTGAGTCAATTCCATCCAAGTGTCTGGATAATTGGATACCAGAAAAAAGACAGATTTGCAGTATTATAACCCAAATCGGTCTCATAAACATTAAGTAATTTGACAAGCATATAGTGGAACTAAGTAGGAGAAAAATAAATAAATTTAGCATTTAATCTTATGATGGTCTATAAATGTTTTCAAATTTTAATTACTTTATGGAACCTATAAAAATCCTTGGTACGTGTTTTTTTTTAAATATTGTTTTAGTTGTAGATGGACACAATACCTTTATTTTGTTTATTTTTATGTGGTGCCAGGATTGAACCCAGTGCCTCACGCATGCTCAGTAAGCGCTCTACCACTGAGCTACAACCCTGGCCTTAGAAATATTTTTAATTACCTAGAGCCAGTGTGTTCTTTTAAAAAAAAATCAGATTAATGCTTAATAAATCTTTTTCACATTGAATAGAACAATGATAATATATGCAAATTCATGATACATTTATCTAAATGGTAAAAAATGCTTTTGTTTCCTAAGATGCTCTTAATTCAGTTTATATACTTAAAAACATAAATGAAGACCTGGTCTAAATCTTTGTGCAAGTATCCTTTTCAACTTCTTTTCAGTTTATTATTGATTTTGCTGGCTTCTTCAGTAGACCTCAAGAGAATAGTTTTCTTCATTTGAAATACATAATTGCCAAATAGGGCACAGTTCTAAACTTCAAACAGTCATAGTCTTATAAAATTCACCCTGACTAAACAAGGATGGAACTGGAGATCATTAAGTGAAATAAGCCAGACACAGAAATAAAAATATCACACTATCTCATTCATACTTGGAATCCAAAAAAGTTGATCTCAGAAGATGAGAGTAGATTGGTGGCTATCAGAGACTGGGGAGAGTATGGAGGAAGGAAAGATGGGGAAAAAAATGATCAATGGGTACTAAATTATAGTTAGAAGCGTGAATTTCTGGTGTGCTATTGCATAGTAGGTTGACTATAGATAATAGTAATATAGTGTATGTTTCAAAAATTTAGAAAAAAATATTTTGAATGTTTTTTAAATTTATTTTTTTAAAAAAATAGTTGTAGATGGACACAGTCTGTGCCTTTGTTTTTTATTTTTATGTAGTGCTGAGGATTGAACCCAGTGCCTTACAGGTTCTAGGCAAGTGCTCTATCACTGAAATACAACCCTAGCCTCTTGAATTTTTTTTTTCTCTTTTTTGGTGACTTCTTCATATATTTTTGAAATATTTTTTAGTTGTCAATGGACCTTTATTTTATTTATTATATGTGGTGCTGAGACTTGAACCCAGAGCCTCATACATGCTAAGCAAGTGCTCTGCCACTGGGCTACAGCCCCAGCCCCTCTTGAATGTTTTTGAAGGTTGAAGATATAGATGTTTAACATTATGCAGCATATACAAGTATATAAGTATCACATGGATATCAGCATGGTACCCCTACTAATGGTATAAATTTTACATTTTTACATATCCGTAAAAAATAAATTTAATTTTTAAAATTACCCTATATAACTGAGATAACTACCTTATACACAAAATTTCAAATGAATTATTTTTATTTTTTAAAAAATTTTGAGACAGGGCTGGGGATGTGCGATAGCGAGCGGTAGCACGCTCGCCTGCCATGCGTGCGGCCCGGGTTCGAGCCTCAGCACCACATACAAAGATGTTGTGTCCGCCGAAAACTAAAAAAAATAAATATTAATATTCTCTAAAAAAATTTTTTTTTTTAAATTTTGAGACAGGGGCTGGGGATGTGGCTCAAGTGGTAGCGCGCTTGCCTGGCATGCGTGCAGCCTGGGTTCCATCCTCAGCACCACATACAAAAAAACAAAGATGTTGTGTCCGCCGAAAACTAAAAATAAATAAATAAATATTAAAAAAATTCTCTCTCTCTCTCTCTCTCTAAAAAAAAAAAAAAATGAGGCATGGTCATGCTCAGTTACCCAGGTCTCATTAAGTTAATGAGGCTGGCTTTGAACTTGCAATCCTCCTGCCTCAGCCTTCTGAGTCACTGGTATTACAGATATGTGCCACTCTGCCCAGTGAATTATTATTGCCTTTTTTTTTTTTTTTTTGATGAGTCACCACTGAAGTGCTTTTATTGGCAGTATGTCTGAACGTACAAAAAAATTCTCAGCTGATGGAACAAGGTAGTCACAATTACAGATGATAATAGGAATAGAGGACAGGGGACGCGGCTCAAAAGAAATCAACATCATATGGGGCATCTAGGTCACAATATTCCGCAATGGCCCTTGGGTCTCCACGAACCATCCTGTTGCAAGGTTTCCCAGAACAATCACCCTGGCCTTGAAAAAATACAGAAAGCTTCACAAATTCGCGAGCCATCCTTGCACAGGGGCCATGCTAATCTTATCTGTATCGGTCCAAATTTAGTATGTGTGCTGCCGAAGTGAGCATTATTATTGCTTTTAAAAGCGATAAATTCTTTACATTTAAACATAGGTGAGTACTACCATTCAAGGAGGTTATCTCTGTTGGATGCAATTTATAAATTCAGTATATATGTATAATCACACCCAACTATATGTAATGTAAAAGGATTACAATAAAGGCTAAGATGTAGTCAAGAAGACAGAGTTGGTTTTTGCCTATATGGAATCACATTTATATAGATGTGGTTTGTGCTGCCTGCATATGACCTAGCCACTTAAATATAGTTCTTTTTTTTAGTCAACTCCAAATGTCTTGATCCTATTGACTCCCTTGTCCTCAGATATAAAAGTGCTAATGTCTTTTAGCTGTTTGTTGTTGTTTTTATTTATTTTTTTTTTGTGGGTTTGTTTGTTTGTTTGGCATGTGTGTATATGCATCCTGAGGATTGATCCCAGGGCCTCATGCATGCTAAGCATGCACACTACCACTGAGCTACACTCCCAGCTGTCTTTGGTTCTTAACATCCTCACCTTTCCTTGTTTTTCCCTTAATCTTGCCCATTTATTTGTAAAATCATTCCTTTATAAACTCTCTTAAGTCATTTTGATTATGCCACCAGTTTTACTTTAATTATTATAACCTATCTCAACATGGAATCTGAATGAAGGATGAAGTTTGATATGTTCAGCTCTTACTAAACTATAACTTTGCTTGTGTAAATACATTAGAGGGCTATAGGCTAATCTTCAAAAATAGCATTGCTTAGACCAGTTACATGAAGGAAAGACCAAGTTTAATTTTTTAATATTATATTCCTTGTAACTGACACACTGTAATAAATATTTGCTCATTTATTTATTTAACAAATATTAACTGAGTACCTGTTGTGTTTCAGACCCTGTTTAGGCTCTACCAACAGAAAAAATGGACCAAGTCCCTCCTCATCTGAAATGAATAAAAGTTTCATTCCACACATAGGTCCATGTGGTCTTTTTAAAAAAAAAATATTTATTTTCTTTTAGTTGTAGTTGGACATAGTACATTTATTTTAATGTGGTGCTGAGGATCAACCCAGAGCCTCACATGTGCTCTACTGCTGAGCAACAACCCCAGTGCTCCATGTGGGATCAAAATAGCATTTACATTAAAAAAAAGAAAGAAAAAAGAAAAGAAAGCATGCAGTAGACAAATAAATTTGGGAAACAATTACTCAAAAGTTGAATTGATTTTTGTTGAAGATTTTTGTAGTTACTTTAACAAACAAATATAAATTTCTAAGAGGGTATTGGTGAATATGCAGTTTCCCAAGCTTTGAAATCACAGAACCCCCTTTTCAAGGAACAAAAAACAACATTTCAAAATAGGCTGTAACATTTTGGGAGAAGAACATGGTTGTTGCTTTGAATTTTTTAACCATTTTAAAAAAATTTTGACTAGAAATACAAATTACCTGTCTGATCCACACCCAATTGTCAGTTGATTTTAAAAATGTACAACATTCAATGACCTTTATGAATTTAAGAGGAATTCATGCCTCTTTTAGAAGATACAAATGAAATTTAAACAGTTTTACAGTTGACTCATGGGGTGATATATAATTAATAAAAGATTTTCAGAAAATAATTTGCTCTTCAAAGAAGTATGTAGGACATTAAAACATAATAATTTAAAAATTATCAAAATTGAATTCAGGGACATATCAACAAAACAATCTAAATTACTGATTCACCAGGATGACCTGATGCACAAACCATATATCTTCACTATTTTGTGTCTTATGTGTTTTTTTGTTCCCAGAAGTGGTTCTAGTTCTACTTCTTAATCAGTGTGGTTTTGAAAAAAAAAAAATTCTCATCTCTAAGCCTCAGTTTCTTTAACTACAATATGAGATAATATAGCTATTTCAGAGGATTAAATGAAGTTATATATATGAAATTCTTCTCATGAGATTACAGACAAGGAGAACAGGCTAGAATGATTCATGTGGTAATGGGTTAGTTGGATATTTTAGTTAAAACTCATGTTTAATTTAATATAGATAGTTAAATATAGAAATATTTATAGATATATGTATGTACATGGGTTAGTATATGCACATATATTTGTTCTGTCATCTGAGAGAGCCTAGAATAAATGACATCCCAGAGGCACTGAGCACAGTTAGTGCCTAGATTTTGATATTTAATATCATTCTCCATAAAAAGGAACCAAGGGTCTTTGAAGAAATGGCTGATTCTAGGACCGGGGTAGGAAATACATAAGATGAAGCTGGGTCATTTTATACTGTTAGAAAATAAGGAATTGGCGGGGCTAGGGTAGTGGTTCAGTGGTAGAGTGCTTGCCTTGCATGCATGAGGCCATGGGTTCGATCCTCAGCACCACATACAAATAAATAAATAAATAAAATTAAAGATATTGTGTCCATCTACAGCTAAAAAAATATAAAAAAGAAAAGAAAGAATGTTCAAAGAGAATCCCTGTGGGTGCACACAACTGATGAGATGTGGTCAAAGGAACACAGAGGCCAATTGAAAGAACTCACAATGACCAAAGTTAGAAAAATTTGAGCAATTAAGTAAATACAGCAGCACTGAATTATGCAAATATAAATTTAATATCCAGTGATCCATACTGATACAAATAAATGATTGAATAAGTTAAGAAATTGGGAAGAATAGACACATACCTAATGCAGAAGAATTCCAAATATTTCGATAACTCCCCACTCCTTAAGTGAGAGCTGCACATAGTGATTTGCTTTTAAAGAATATATAGAGAGGGCTGGGGATGTGGCTCAAGCGGTAGCGCTCTTGCCTGGCTTGCATGCAGCCCGGGTTCGATCCTCAGCACCACATACAAACAAAGATGTTGTGTCCGCCGAAAACTAAAAAATAAAAATTAAAAAATTCTCTCTCTCTCTCTTAAAAAAAAGAATATATATAGTAGGGAAAGGTGAAGAGAGAAAAGAGTAGCTTTGCAATGGAAAAGCCTAAAAAATACTACTTTATAGTCATCTAATTGAGGTCAACATCAAAAGTCCTAAGTCATGTTGATGGTATGTAACCTTGACAGAATGTGATGAAAATCAAATTTTACATTTGTAATATTTTTCTAGAAACCTTATATAATCTGTCTACTCATGACAAAAACAGTAGACAAATTTTAATAGTTATCTTACAATATACCTGAGTAGTCCTCAAAACTATCAAGGCCTGCAAAAATAAAGAAAATCTGAGAAAATGTCACAACCAAAGCAACCTAAAAAAACAATATAACAATGTAATGAGGGATGTCAGATGGGATCATGGAACAGAAAAAAGACATTAAATAAAAACTAAGGAAACATGAATAAACTATAGACTTAATAATAATGTATTTACTGGTTCATTAACTATAATAATATAATAATGTATAAGATTAATGACAGGGAAAGCTGTGGGGATGCATATGGGTACTTTGTACTATCTGCTCAATTTTTATGTAAACCTATACCTATTCTAAATAATAAAGTCTTACTTAAAAATGCTTCTCATATTACTCAGTATATGAAAGGTGTTCAATAAGTACTATATAATCATTGTTATCATTAATTAGTAATACTAATGATATAACCCATGTTTTTCCACTTGGCACCAGTTAATGTTCACAAACATAATCTTATTTACAATAATCATCATTATTTCAATGGAAGCTATTATAGCATAGATAAAAAGCATTTTAGATTTCGAGAAAAGCACAGAGATGAAAAGCCTGGCTCTGAAACTTTACAAGCTTTGTTACCTTAGAGAAGTATTTACTTTACCTCTCTAATTTCCTCCTTTTAAAAATTGGGCTAAAAATAGTACCTACAATAGGGCTGGGGTTGTGGCTCAGCAGTAGAGTGCTTTCCTAGCACATGTGAGGCCCTGGGTTCCATCCTCAGCACCACATAAAATAAAATAAAGGTATTGTGTCTATCTACAACTAAAAAATAAATATTTAAGAAAAAAATAGTACCTACAATAACTGCATATTGCTAGAATAATATGAGACAATGTAAATATTCATTTGTTCATTTTACTAATTTTTATTGAGTGCCTACAATGAGGAAAACCAAGAAATAAAAGAGTTCTTAGGGTGGGGGGAATAGAGATTGGGAATAGTGGGAATTCAGTTATGGATCTGTTAAATTTGATGTTTATTGGCTATCCAAATGGAAAAGTACAATAAATGTTTATATGTGAATGTCTTGAACACAGAGAAGAGGTCAAGGTTGGAGATAAAATTTATCTTTATAGTTTTGTATCTGAATAAGTACACCTGGAGAACATGCCAACACTTTGAGCTCCAGTACAAAAAGAATACAAAAGGGGCTGGGGCTGTAGATCAGTGGCAGAGTGCTTGCCTAGCATATGTGAAGCACTGGGTTCCATCCTCAACACCACATAAAAATAAATAAAATAAAGACATGCTGTCCACCTACAACTACAAAAAAAAATTAATTTAATTTAAAAAACAGCAAAAAAAAGGCTAAGGAGAGAGAACCAGAAAGGTGAGGAGAAAAATCAGAAGACAACATCACGGATAAAAGAAAGAAAAGTTCAAGAATAAAAGTGTTGAATGTTACGGAGATACCCAGTAAAATGAGGAAATATTACCCATTGGTTTTGGTAATAGTAAGGTAGAAGAAAAAATTTGGTGAAGTGATAGGGATAGCAGTCAGAATGAAATAGGGTTGAAGAGTAAATGCAAGATGAAGAAGAGTGAAAAATGTGTAGAGACCAGGTTGAGAATTTCACTATGAAAGGGAACAAAGAAATGAGGTGGTAGCCAAAGGTGAATTTACTGCCAAGGGAAGACTTCTAAAAGTGGGATACTAGAGTGTGTTCTTAGAATTGGAATGATACCATGGAAAGTAAGAAATTCATCATACAGCAGGGTATTAAAAAGGTTTTGTTATTGTTTCTTTGTTGTTGTTTTTTGGGGGGGTACTGTGGATGGAACTCGGTGACACTCAACCACTGAGCCACATCCCCAGCCCTATTTTGTATTTTATTTAGAGACAGGGTCTCACTGAGACAGGGTCTCACTTAGCACCTCACTGTTGCTGAGGCTGGCTTTGAACTTGTGATCCTTCTGTCTCAGCCTCCTGAGCTGCTAGGATTACAGGCATGCACCACCGTGCCCAGCTTATTGTTTTTATTTATTTGTTTTAGTTGTTGTTATAAGACCTCCAATCTTGCACCTCCAAAATCTCACCCAGTTATGCCTGGAATTCAGAGAATATCTCATGTGAGATCAAGAATAACTCATCTTCTACCATGTGTCTTGTACTTGCTAGACTCTCTTTGGTAAAATCTCTTGACCTCCAACAGGTGGAGATATAATGATGCCTCTGCATTGCTACTAGTCCTGAAGTTCAGTTTGAGTCTTCTGATGTCCTTTCCAAAACCATTGTATCTTTGCTCCCAAAGCTGCTAATGCCAATATACCAAAATCCTTATGAATTTCTTAGAGTTTTCAATGGGCAATATTTGGAACAGAGAAGAAAATGCCTTTCTCCCTTTATATACATGGAAAACAAGCAATGCTGATTGTAACCCAGGGCCTCCTATAGTAATTTGTGAAAGTAGCCTGTTCTGTTTCCAGATAAAATGCCTTTCCCTAAGGAGCTCAAACTTAAGTCCATTAGCTGGGCCTGATCTTTAGGACACACCCCATCCTGTCTTCCCAATTGTTTTTTTCACCCTGTTGCTTTTAAAATCTCTTTATACTCCTCTAATTTTATGCACAGCAATTCCTACAAATTCCTAGTTCATCTAGCAGATTGGTTTTTAATGTCTAAATCTCAAAAATGGGAATATAATCTAGGCTAAAACCAGAAATTTATCTAAAAATCAGTGTGGTGTAGTATACCAAAGAGGGGGTAGTGGGAGTGGTCTGCTCTGAATGAAGGCCGTAA